ATAAATGGTTACTGGTTTATACTGGGAGGGACTGGGAGGGACTGGGTGGGTTGTACAGGGTTACTGGTTTATACTGGGATATACTGGGTGGCACTGGGTGGGTTATACAGGGTTACTGGTTTATACTGGGAGGGACTGGGAGGGTTATAAAGAGTTACTGGTTTATACTGGGATGTACTGGGAGGAACTGGGAGGGTTATAAAGGGTTACTGGTTTATACTGGGACGTACTGGGAATGGGTTTAGAAGGCACTGGGGCTAACTGGGATGGAACTGGTTTGTACTGGTCTGCACTGGTGCCCGAAATTATCCAAAATCCTGCCCTGAAATTCCCCCAAATCCCGCCCACGATCCCCAAAACCTCCCCCAAAATTCGCCCCAAATTTGCCCCAAATCTCCCCAGGATGCCCCAAATTCCCCCCAAACCTTTCACAGCACCCCAAATCCTCCAGGACCCTCCAAGTTCCCTCCGGGACCACCCAAATCCTCCCCAAATTCCCCCAAATCTCCCCCAAAACGCCCCCAAATCCTGCCCAGATCCCTCCAGGACCCCCCAAATCCGAGGATGGGAAGGGTTAAAGGGGTCGGGCCTAGTGGGGAGGGGTCAGAGGGGGAGGGGTTAATTGGAAAATGGGAGAGGACTGGGAGGGGCTAAAGGGGGTGGGGCTAATGAGGATGCTAATGAGGGGCAAAGGGGGAGGACAAAATAGGGAATGGGAGGAGCTAAACAAGGTGGGACACAGGGAAGCAGCCAATCGTGGGCGTGGCCACAATGGCAGTAGCCAGTAGGGGTCGCCCTGATGGTGAATCAGCCAATGAGAGCGTCCAACAGGGGGCGCCCTCCCCCTGACCCCGCCCCCTCCCCTTTTTCAGATGGTCCCGAGATGGAGGCGGAGCCAGAGGAGGGGGCGGGGCCGGGGGTGGTGCTGGTGCCCGAGGGGGCGGAGTCAGCGACGCTGCGGTGCCGAGCGCGGGGAGTGCCGGGGGTGGAGCTGAGCTGGGAGAGGAACGGGAGGAGCCTGAGCACGGGGGAGCCCGGGTGAGGGACTGGGAGGGACTGGGAGGGACTGGGATGGAGTGGGAGGGACTGGGAGGGACTGGGATGGACTGGGAGGGACTGGGAATGGAGTGGGATGGACTGGGATGGACTGGGATGGAGTGGGATGGACTGGGATGGAGTGGGATGGACTGGGATGGAGTGGGATGGACTGGGAGGGACTGGAATGGAGTGGGATGGAGTGGGATGGAGTGGGATGGAGTGGGAGGGACTGGGATGGACTGGGAGGGACTGGGAGGGACTGGGAGGGACTGGGCATGGAGGTTTTGAGGGGCTCCAGGGTCATTGGCAGGGCAGGGCCCGAGGGGACACGCTCTGCCCCGCGCTCACCTCGGCGCTCCACGCTGAACGGGGTGACAATCGGGTAGTTGTGCCGGCAGTACCTGTCCACCGTAGTTCGTTGGTACTCCATCCATACCGCGTCATTGTTCCAGTACCTGGCACACTTCTCCCCATAGGGGGTGAGGACTGGGAGGGACTGGGATGGGCTGAAGTGATCTGGGTTCAGCTGATCAAACTGAGCCAGCCTGGCATGAACTGGGATGTACTGGGGGCAGCTGGGAAAAACTCCAGTCCACTCCCGGTCCCTCCCAGTTCCCTCCCAGTTCCCTCCTTGTCCCCCCCAATCCCTTCCCAGTCCATCCCAGTATCCCCAGTACCCTCCCAATCCCCACCCAGTCCCTCCCAATCTTCTCCCAATCTCTTCCCAGTCCCTCCCAGTCCCTCCCAGTCCATCCCAGTCCCCTCCCAGTTCCCCCCCAATCCCCTCCCAGTCCCTCCCAGTCCCTCCCAGTCCATCCCAGTGCCCCCCCTGACCCCAGTCTCCCCCATACTGGTCCCAGTTCGCCGTTCCAGGAGCTCCAGTGGCGCGAGGGGCCCTGGACCAGCTCCGTGCTCAGCGTCACCAACGTCACCGGGGCCCGCGCGCGCCTGCGCCGCCGCTTCCTCCAGTCCCACCAGTCTGACCAGTCCCACCAGTCCCGGCGGGGCCCCCGGCCCCGCTACCGCTACCAGAACGTGCCCGCGGCGCCGCCGGACTGGGAGCACTGGGAGCACTGGGAGGGCGGGAACGGCACCGTGGGCGTCTTCGACTGCGTGGCCACCAACGGGAGGGGCACGGCCCGGAGGAGGCTGCGGCTGCGGCTGGGGGGTGAGCTGGGACTGGGGGGACTGGGAGGGACTGGGAGGGGATTGGGGGGGACTGGGAGGGACTGGGAGGGGATTGGGGGGGACTGGGATGGAATTCGGACAAACTGGGAAGGACTGGGAAGAGATTGGGAAGGAGTGGGAGGGACTGGGAGGAACTGGGACAAACTGGGAGGGACTGGGATGGATTAAAAGGGGATTCCAGGTTACTGGTTTATACTGGGAGGGACTGGGAGCACTGGGAGGGGAGTGAGAGGGACTGGGAGGGGTTAAAAGGGGGATTTGGTGTTGCTGGTTTATACTGGGAGGGACTGGGAGGGGTTAAAAGGGGGATTTGGTGTTACTGGTTTATACTGGGAGGGACTGGGAGCACTGGGAGGGGATTGGAATAGGCTGGGAGGGGTTAAAAGGGGATTTGGGGACACTGGTTTATACTGGGAGGACACTGGGATGGACTGGGAGGGGATTTGAGGTTACTGGTTTATACTGGGAGGGACTGGTTTGTAATGGGAGAGGATTGGGAGGGACTGGAGGAGCATTGGGAGCACTGGGTCCATACTGGGAGCACTGGGAGAGAGTGGGAAGGGGTTAAAAGGGGAATTGGGGTTACTGGTTTGTACTGGGAGGGGCATTGTGGGTACTGGGACCACACTGGGGGCACTGGGACCGTACTGGGAGCACTGGGGTCGTACTGGGATCAACTGGGGGCACTGGGACCATTCTGGGAGCACTGGGTCCATACTGGGAGCACTGGGTCCATACTGGGAGCACTGGGGTCACACTGGGGGCACTGGGATCACACTGGGAGCACTGGGACCATACTGGGAGCACTGGGTCCATACTGGGAGCACTGGGTCCATACTGGGAGGTTACTGG